ACCCTTATAGGTCTTACTAAAAGTGTCTTAAAAAAGAAAAAAAATACTTAAAAGAAAAAGAACCTAACCCAACTTTTATTATTCTCAACTTTTATTATTATTATTATTATTGTTATTATTATTATGATTTTAAAGGATTCACTCATTTTCATGTTTCATTGAGACACAAGTTCTTGAGCTATTGAGTTGTTATTTATCATACATCTGAAAATGGGTTAAACTATAGTAAGTGTTTGTGCCAGTGTTCCATGTAGTGGAATTATTATTAAAGCGTTGAAAGATTAGGGTCCATCAGGTTTGGTGGAAACACAATGACAAATATAAAAATATACAACAAGGGAATTAGAGGAGACACTGAATCAGGCAACTTGTCATTCACTTTTTTAGAGTTTTATAGAAATTCCTGATAAGGATGAGAGACATATGATAAAACTCTAACTTTGAATCCTTGGAGAAACTTAGACACTAAAAGCAAAATGCTGACGGTATCATAAAGGGGGTCCCCAAAATAGCTGGGCGACATACCTGGAGCCTTGCAATAAAATACTCAGCTCAGTTTCACATATATATCTGTTTAGTATGGCAGGGAATACCAAGAAAATCCACCCCCAGCATGTTAAGTCAGATATTCAGCATGTAGCTCAGTAAACATGAAAACAATGCAGTAGCACAGAAACACTGAGGAACAGAGGAGGAAGATATGCTGATTTCCAGTCAAATTTTTCATCCTTAAATCCTACTTTACTTCCTGCCTTTGGTTCAGGTTTTCTTTCTGGTTTCCTGGATAGAATCAAACAAGATTTATGCATAGCACACTGTGTGAGCTTTATATGAGGATGCTAAGTGAGGATGCTATAATGTATAACTTTCTGCTGCAGGGGAAGTCGCACCACCATATAAGCTGATTAGAGTCACAGTTTTATAAGAGGGGAAAAAAGTAGGAATTTGGCAATATGACTGATTGGAATAAGAGAGGATTCTGATATCTTTTGTTTTATTTCAACATATGAATTTATTGATACTTGTCACAGGTCACCTAAATCTGCAGTTTGTGCATCTGCAGCATTGAACAACCAGAGAACTATGGAGGTAGCCAATAATACATTAGTCGACATGATCTTAGCCCGTAATATAATCTTGTATTCTCTGTTGTTTTTGGCTTTAAGTCCAACATGTTGATGGTCAGCTGTTTTATCTCCCAGCATGGGTGTAAATCATTTCTTAATAACAGAGTTTTAAGCCAAAGCTGAATGACTCCAGCTGGTATTTGTGCTCTCTGCCAGCTTTAATGAACTGGCTTTGAGCTCTCTGCTGCCCAGCACAGCTTATTATCACCATGATTTCAGCGTGTGTGGGTGTTCTGTCTCTTTCCTTCCACATTTTTGTGATCACCTCAGCAATTTCTAGCCTCCAATCAAGTTTTTTCTGCATCCCTTTCTTTTATCTCCTGCAAAGTTCTTTGCTTTCAGTCTCTATCATTTACCTGCAGGAGTCCTACAAATTGCTGCTCCAGGACTGCTATATTTCTGTGATCCTTCAGTCTTCTTCTCTGTCTTTTTTGTCCCACACCTCATCTTCTCCTCCTATCTCCTTATCTGTTGCAGCAGACTTCACTTTAAAAGAACTAACTCATGGTTTTAACCATATCATTTTCAGCCTTCTAACATTTTGAACCTTCATGCCAACCCTTTGTCTTCATGGCCGCACCTTTTCTTCCCCCACCATCATTCAAAATCCATCTTAACCTTACTTCACATCTCCCATAGCTCCAGAACCTATCACCTGCATCTGATCCATTTCTTCTCCCGCCTATCCTCCCACTCACACCTGACACCTCTGGGCTGTACGCTCTCATAACAAAGACGTGACTACACATCCATGTAGCCTTTTAGACAAACCTTCAACACAAATGCACATGCCAGAGCTATTTGCATGACAGGCGCTGGTGTGATTCGCGGAGGGAGGGACTGGTGGGTGGATGAAGGGAAAACGAGAAATGGGAGAGAGACAGAGTTGTAGTGGAAAGTGTTGGTCTGAATTATTCATGGCTGATATATATAGGATGAAAGAATGAAAGGAGGAAGACGCAGGTAAAAAGTCACTCCCTTATCTCTCCAGAGTGTAATATCGCTGCAAGCTCAATGTCATCATTTCAGGAGGCCAGCGGTTTGGCTACTTCCTCAGCGACAACAAACGGGTGCTGAATTTATCTTTACTTAAACTGCTCCCTTTAATAGAAATGTTCAGAGGAGGGAAATAGACCGCTGGAGCTATAAATGCAACAGCCTGCAATATCGATCTAGTTTGACCTGTATCCTGGAGTGAAAACTGGGATTAAAAGAAGGCACATAAAAAATAAAAATGGAAGGAATCTATGAAACCTAGTTGTGTATTATATTTCTATGCTCCAGGTTGGGATTTGCTTGATGAAAAAAGGTTTGCTGCATATCATTGAGAGAATAGGTGACAATGGAAACATGCAAGTGCAGAATGTTACTCTCCAACTTAAATCAAGCAGACACGTAACTAAGTTTAAAGATTATATTTAATCATTTTCAAAACATTTTAGGTTATGTTCAGGCTTTTAGCTCAAGATTTATACTCATTAAAACAATCTGTAAAAAAGATAAGCCAGTCAAGAATGCAGCTAAGTCGCATATGAGTGATAAAGTCTCTTTTTCAGTGGGAAACTCTGCATCAGTGCACAACATAATGATCAACAAAGATAAAAGTTATCAACTACAATTTCAGTTCATAAGATGAAATTGTATATGCCAACGGGGAGGAGTAAATTGAGAAGAAACGTCTGCTGTAATTCAATCTATAAGTTTGGCAGCGTTTAGTGAGATATTGTAATTTCTGCTGCTCTCCTGAACACTTTAATTCCTCTTATGTTCCCTTCAATGCGTTGGTTTAAGATAAGAGCAACCTATTTTATTCTAGCAAGCTGTATAGAGTTTTATTCACTGGCTCTTCCACATAATCCATGTTTTACTTGACAAAGTTCAATTGCACTGCAGTACTGTTGTTATCTAACAGTATTCTGACAGAGAACCACATCTGTCTCCACTTAGACTTTATAATGTCTCTCTGGAGACTCCAGTAACTCTCACAGCTCTAATACATCTCAGGGTAAATGGCCTCTCTAAATAGCCCTTAGGTCTGTGTGTGTTTGTGTGACTATGTATTTGTTACCATGTGGAGGGGGTATGATGCCAACTTCATAGGAATATGTTACTTTGTGGGGACTAACAGGTACTTTTGGGGACCAGTTGACTGGGGACTTAAGTTCTGTCTGTGTGTGAGTCGTGTCTTTCATGAGTCTCTGTGTAAATCCAACCTATTTCACTGTTAATTTTTAAAGGATTAAATAAATAATGCTACATAGATAACTGTGGCAGTGATATGTGTCGAAATATTACTGAATTGAACCCCTTTCTGATTCCTGTAAGCTACATTTGGTGCTTTTGTGTATAAGCCTGTGATGCAGTAAGGACAGTAAGGCACATGTTTATA